TTATCAAATTTTTTGATTTAAGTTGGCAAATTTTGAAGCAGTTGATGCCATCATCCCATATGGCTGATGATAAAGTTCTTCTCTGAGACGGTCGAAATGATTTGTTAATTTCTAGTGAATCGTTTCAGAACATTGCCAGTGCCAAGAGTAGAGATTAATGGCTGTTTGTATATGGCTTGGCTGGATATGATGACACGTGATTTGCCTCCAGTGCTAATGATTCGTGGTAATCAAACATCAGTTCTAACGTTTTATTCTTGAGTCGTTCACATTCATTTGGTCATTCACTGTTATTAATTATAATTATACTATAATGTTAATATGTTATATTATAATGTTAATTGGAATATTAACACTGTCGTTCTTTTACAAAATTGCTCCTGTATTATTGTATATGTTAACTTGTTATGTCAATAAAGTTTTACTGTTCATTTCCTGAATTCAATTGTGCTGTTATCCAAAACAGCTATCATACTGATGTGATAATCAACTGATTGATTGAATTGATTGGAAATGCCTCGAGCTGAACATGATGATCTGTGAAAGTTTATTCAATGTTGTTGATGAGTCAGCGAGTAGCTAACAAGACAATTTTGTTTCCATTGAAGACATTCTATTACTCAGCTGAGCACTACTATTTTCTCTTTCAGAATACTTGTNAATTTTGTTTCCATTGAAGACATTCTATTACTCAGCTGAGCACTACTATTTTCTCTTTCAGAATACTTGTGGACGTCACGAAGGCTAGCACCTATCGTTATCCGTTCACTTCATCAACTCACTAATTGTAAGTAAGTGAAAATGACTGTTTGAACGCATTAATTGTCTAACATTTATACATGGAAACAAATCCTCACTATAAAAATATCACTTGATACTATCACGAACATCACTGAAATAAATTGTTACCAAGCGATAAAGTCACAGGAAAACTCATCGTTATATTAAAAGAATCAAAATGATGATCAATTGTGGGAAAGAGCAGAGTTGTACCCAGACAAATATCATATCGGAATTAATGAAGACTGGAGGCGTTCGCTTTTGAGTTCAAGAAGGGTAGCAGCGCAGTCTTTCGCCAAAACTCTCTGATCAAACTGAATGGATGGAAATGTAACGGAGAAGTGATCATGAGATGAATTCTGAGTTTCTGAACGAACATGAGCGCGACTTTGGTCGAGTCGATTCAATCTTTCGTTGTTCACAATCTCTAATCTCATCAAAAAACGGTCCACATACGAAACGAAAAGTACGCAACGGCACTATAAAATATACGATAAATATAATTTTTCGATTTAATCACAAAACAACATTAATAATCGGAAGCTATTCACAATCAGTCATTAACAACAACAACAACAGATATTGCATAATCAAAACGATAATTCACACTGAAATTCTCAACATCAGACTAGAATATTGGAAACAGGCGATTAGTCATAACGTTTCCAAGATCAATGATAAAATAAACAAGGATAAGTCAATATTGATGCAGCAACAATAATAATAATGATAATTGGTCAAAAATTTTGGGGCAATCGCAATTTCTTAGATAAGCATCTGAATTTATTAGTGAAACTTTCGGGAGCCTTAATTAATTGTTAATTCGTGGAATTACATTTCATTGCGAAGCTATTTCTAAATTCTTTTATTTGGCTAAAATTACCGCCGGTATCGTTGTTTGCATCATTGATATCCCTGTTTAGATCATAAATTACTATATATTATTGGTGATATTAGCATCATCTTCAATGCATTCCACAGCTTCCCACGTGGATAATCACAATATCACATATCAATCTTAAATTGAAATTTATAAACGAATAAAATTATGCCATTAATAAATTGACTTTCGGAGTTATTCGCACACAATCGCGAATTCAACAATTATCCTGAATAAACAACGCTTTCAATCAATTCAACAAGTATTCACACAATATTTTGAACCATGCGCAACAGAATATCAAATTGAATATAGCATTGATTGAGAACTGAGCTTTGAAAAAAACGATAATGGTCATTATTAATCTATTAGATTTTATAAAATTGATTTCTTCAATGACAACTCTAAATCAGTGATCGATGCTGATCAGTATTCATAGTATAAAACAATGGAATTTATTGGATTCATCGGTGTAAAATAGTTACTGACACCAGGTCCGTAACCGGTATGGTCAGTCTTTCCACAGAATAATGCGAGCATGGCAGCTCAACTACCGTATTCGAGTCAAATCCTTTGAAAATAACATCGGTGTTCCTATGGGGCCATTGGTTTCCTATGGGATCAGTGGTCATTTCTGGATTTTCGACCAAAAATTGTGCATAGAACAAATTCGGCGCTCTTAATAAATACGGGCCCTATTGCTATTGCACACAAGTCATAGTGAAATGATTGTTGTCGAGATTATACCCGCCGCCAAAGTGCTATACTCTCTATTGCACATGGCATGACCTTTGCAAATCATGTTCGAGCATTTGATATCATATTTGAATTATTATTTATATTAAGTATTATGTATAGAGTATTATGCATTATCGAGAGATTAATTTTTGAGGATAGTTTTGTTTTGTTCATTTATTGAAGCGATTTTATCAGAATATATTCCGATTTGATCAGTTGATAGTTATCGATTTCTGTCATTATCAGTTATATTCATTCAGCAAAATCATCGTCATTTTTCCGCTTCTTCAACGTTCCCGTTCGCCAGCTTACGCTCTTCTTCTTCTGAAAGATCGATTCTTTGTTTTTCAGCTAATTCATTACTCAATCAATGATCAGTAGAACAATATATCTTTCTCACAGCTGAATTCATAGCCACTGAACAACATTCAGAACCGAAACAAAATTCAACATTCATTTTCATTACGAATTCAAATTCAACTGCTATTATTCATTATCACAATTATCACTGTTGCCATGTCACTGAGAAATCCTTATCATATGAGCTGATATCAGTACAAATGCTATTAGGATCAGTATTACAGCCGCAATTGCGCTTGCTAATGTAATCATTGTTGTTAGCATTAGTATTATCATAATCATCAATCACTACCATTATCAGCAGCACTCTTATCATCATTGTTACTTAACCTGATCATTTATGCTCA